GCCGCTGCCGCTGCCGCTGCCGCTGCCGCTGCCGCTGCCGCTGCCGCTGCCGCTGCCGCTGCCGCTGCCGCTGCCGCTGCCGCTACTGCTACTGCTACTGCTACTGCTACTGCTACTGCTACTGCTAATGCTAATGCTACTGCTGCTGCTGCTCCTACTGCTGCTGCTACTGCGATTTACTACTGCTCCTCCCCCGCTGCTGCCCTGGCTGCTGGTGGTACAACTTAGGAGTAGGTAGTAGTAGTAGTAGTAGTAGTAGTAGTAGTAGTAGTAGTAGTAGTAGTAGTAGTACTAATAATAGTAGTAGTAGTAGTAGTAGTAGTAGTAGTAGTAGTACCAGCACTAGTATTAGAAGTCAGCTTAGAAGCAGTACTAATGCGCGCAGTACGAGTACAAAGAAAAATCTCAGGAAACTTCAATGATGACCTTATTGTGATGATGATGATGATGGCGATGATGATGATGATGATGATGATGATGATGATTCTGTCCGAGGGCTCCGCCGAATGTCGAATGCCGGCCGCGCAGGGAACTTCATCAACTCTTAATGCTCGCGTCTGCTAAAGCTTAACTTCAAGAAATGAGGGAAGTAACTGGAGCTACAGTGAACGATCTCATGCATTCTGATTCTGTTCTGTTCACATCTTGCCATAAAGTTCGCATACTTTACGAAAGCCCAAGAAGAGGTATGCAGCTTCCGTACTGGGTTCTACTTACTGCTACCTGCGAACATCTTTCTCAAGATGGCGTCAAAGTGCTACGCCAACTTGGAGCCGTGCAAAAAAAAGCCAGAGCCAGCATTCGCCCGAAAGGAGGCGACCCACCCGTACCTTAAATGCCGAAACCCTACAAGTACGGCATAAGCCCAAACTCAACAAAACTCAAGAATTCCTGGTGCCTTTGTGATCAGCTGTGCCGCGACGGCCGGCGGTGGCTTGCTCAGACTCGGAGGCGAAGCCTTCGCTGCCTCCGGCTAGGCCTTTTTCCTTCGGGTTTGGGGCCACGGGGTTCAGGGCTCAAGATTTGAGGTTTAGGGCTTCAGGAGTTTGGAGGTTCAGGGCTTTGGGGGTTAGAGTTTCAGCTTTACCGGTTACCGAAGGTTCTGACTTAGACTTAACCCCAAAGCCCTTCCAAGCCCACTCCCAGACTTGCAACAACGAGCGTTCTCGAGACGATACCTGACATTGCAAGGATTCTGTGTGACAATCTCTCCGAGCCCCAGTCTTTGTTGCCCTGAGACCAATGCCCACAGTGGCCCAGATATGCCCAAATAAAGCGGAGCCCGAGCCTCAGCTACTTCTTCAGACGGAGCCGGAGCATCGGCCGAATCGGCAGTCTGCAAGGGCGCTTGTAGGGCTCGACGGGAAGAAACGCCGCACAGTCGCACAGTCCAGGGTTGGAGGTCCAAGCGGGTGTGCGTAAGGAATCAAGCCTTCGCGGTAGAGCAACTGCGACAGCTGGATGAAGACAGCGGGGGTGGTTGGGCACGCGGAACAGTCGGAGACATGCACATCCATCTGGTTGACAACAGGAGCAATACGTAGATCAGGAACATGTCGGTGCAATCTGTCGGATCACACGACTTTTTTGAAGCCCGGGCTGGATGCCGAAAACCACTCCACAAGCCTTGAAGTTCTGGACAGTGTCGTTAGGGGCTCAGGGCTTCGGGATCTTCATGTCATGATTCGCACACTTCCCACTCCGATTCACTGAAGGTGCTCCGCGGGCCTTGCGCCTCTTGGGCGGTGGCTGTGGCCTGCTGTGGGGGCGCTTTGGAGCAAAGGCTGGTGTGAGTTCAGGGCACTTAGCGTCTTGTCGATGGGATAAGTGTTCGATGCGTGACTCAACCGCAAAGACTGGCCTGCAAATAACGTTTAGGCAAATATCGCTTAGGTCAGGTCTGAAGTTTAAGGTCTTGGGCTTGAAGTTAGCTACGACAAAACATTCCTTGCTCTTCCGAAATTGGGTAGGTCCCCTGCCTCGAAGGCTGCAAGGGCGCTGACTTGGTCGCTGTCGGCCGTGCCTTCCATATGTCACTGCATATATGCACATGTGTATATACGTATGCATGCATACATGCATGGATGGATGTATACTTCTGTATAAACAGATAAGCAAAAGATAGCGTGCACATATCTGTGTGTGTGTGTATCTGTCTGTGTCTATCTCTGTCTATCGGTCTGTCTGTCCGTGTGTCCGTGTCTGCGTGTCTCTGTTTCCATCTTCGGTCTATATCCGTCTGTCTGTCTGTGCCTGTCCGGCTGTCGGCCGTTCCGTCGTGTCCCTGTGTCTGTGTTCGGGTGTGAGTGGGGTGTAGGTTAGGGACAGACAGATGCAGCTTTGTATTTAGAGTTCAAGATCTCATGACGTGGCGTAGACCCTGAAAAGCCGAAACCCGACATTCAAATCGCAAGATCCGAAACTTCAAGCCCCGAGCCCCGAGCCACTCGAAATCCCACTCAGCCCTATGGCCCTACGGCCCAAAAATTTCAAAAGAATGCCCAAGGCCCTGAAGCAGAGAAGAGTATCGGCCGTGGCACGGCACCCTTCCGCTGGGTCGATTCCAGCGGGGCCTGGTCGGCTAAAGGGTCCCGAAGGCCCAGGTCTTCCCGACAATCTAGGACTCAAAGGAACGGTTTCACAGCTCAGGACCCAGAGTTGTCATTGGGGTTCAGGTTAGGCAGTCGGATAGATGGTACGCTATGTTGGGAGGGAAACTGATATGACTCCTGGGAGTCTGGAGCAGTACGTCAGGTATGCAGAGCTACGAGTGAAACAGCGAGTACCATTGATAATTCCCCAATGAAACACACGGCCAAACACTCGTACTCGATACACGATTCTGTAAATTTAGATTAAGTCAGTGCCTTAGTCAGTGCCAGCTGTAGTCATGCAGAAGATAAAACCTACCACAGCCAATGTCGTCATCACGGCAGAAACTCTCGAGTCGTAGGTTTGATAGGTCTTGCTTTGCAGCCCCTGGTTGAATCATGGCTGGTGTGTCGCTGTAAGCATGAGCGACTAAAAAGCACTTATGCCCTCAGCACAGCTTGTAGATAAACCCTAGCTGCCACATGAAAACGTTCATGCAGACCCAGGAAATGTAGTTAAGGGCAACCACAAATGCTCTGTGTCTCCCCTAAAACATTCTCACAGAAGCATGTAGCCGCTTCGGCACTGGAACAGGCGGGAAATCATATGAAGCGTTGCCTTCTCTGGTGGTGGACCCCCGGACTTGAACGCCGTGTGCCTCCCGGCCGAGGGGCGATCAAAGTACTCTCTTGGGGATCAGGGCTTGGTGCTTCGCAGCAATTGCACTCTCTAGCCAGCTCCAGTCTGCTGAAAACTGTTACCTCGCAGCCGCTTTTGCTACACCAGCTCCAGCCGCCAACCTCTGCAGCAACCCCCGCTAAAAACCTTCCTGTGTAGCTGCTAATCCGGTCAAATTACATGATCAACTCTTCTTCCTAGCGGCTAACGGCTTGCTTTCTTGTGAGTGCAAGTTTGGCAACAAGGGCGCTTTGTGAAATTGGATTCGAAAGCCTGCCTCTTCTTGAGAGCCGACGGTCTCTTCGGGGCTTGCGAGCCCTGCGTGCAAAAGCCCAACACCAAAGTTCAGGATCATGTCACGAACAAAACTGAAAAACGCAGGAATCAACATTGCCAAGAACCAGGAGACCAAGATGTAGGAGAAGCTGCAGACGGGGGGAGCCGAAGGTCTGGGCCTACGACTACGATCACCACGGAGCCTCAAGCTCAAATGCAGAAGCCAGACTACACAGATACACCTTGCGAAACCTCGGGCGCGACGGTTGTCACGAAAACCACAAGGTCGTAAGCATGTTGCTTCTGGTCTGAGTTTGGGCTGGG